GCAACAATCAAATACCAAAAGAGTAATTTTTTACATATTTTGCTGTACTCTGCCTCAAGGAGAAACAACACAACTTTAAAATGTTTCACATTTGAAATCTTAATTCAAAAATGGTGAAAAAAACTTAAGAATAAAGAGTTTACTGTTGGAAATGTCAGAGATTGTTGGAGATACTGAACTATTTAGTCCTTGGAGTCTATTTTTACCTAAATTGTTGAGCTAGGATATTTGAATAATTTTCCATTCATAATTTACTGCATCATTCAGGGAAATAAAGTCACCAGGAAAACAAAATAAAATTAATTTAAAAGGAGATAGAACAGAAACACAAACTCAAAAAGCTGCTCTTAGAGAAAAATTCTCAGCGGAATGGAAAAACCTGAGACTTTAAAAAGTGACTTATTTGGAGTAATATGAAATCTTTCCAGTTGAAGAATTTCATCAAACCAAATATGGCCATAATTAATGTTTTTGTTTCAACAAAACTGTGTTTTGGTGGGGTTTTTTCACCAAAATGTGCAATTGTTGTATTTCATACATAACTTTCTCAAAACGTTTTTAGCTGATGATTAATTCTCGAGATGCTTGTTAAGTAGTGACCCTTGTGTTATTTTTGAGACGCAGATATATTTTAAGAACGCGTGTGATCTGGAATGAATGGCAGTGCGGGTGGGTTGGTTTTGCATCAGCGGAGATGTGACAGCAGGAGAAGGATGCTGCAAGGTCACAGGCCAAGCCTGCGGTGTCCCAAGGCAGGATGAGGAGAGGGGAAACGCTTTGGGAAGCCCTTGCAGCAGGGACTTCCGAAAGGCTAGTCACCCTCAGGGTACAGGGGAAGGAGCAGCAGTTATCACATTCAGGACTTCAGAGGGACTGCAGGAAGAGACACGGGCTGAGTATGTTTCCCCCCAGTTCCCCTTTCCCTTGGGCTGCTGGAGTGCAGCAGGAGGTGAGGTGGAAGCAGGGCTGTGTGGCCAGCTGTGCCCACCTCTGGCCACTTGTGCTGGCAGCACAGCGCCTGTCCCACATGACCACTCTCTTTTGGCTCTTGGTGGAAACAGGGGTTCATTAGATCACTTTGCAAACATGCAGGAGTCTACAAGGGCTTGGTCAGGAGTGCCTAAACCCTCAACCTCTGTTTCTGTAATCCTTTATTGATCACAGTCACTGCTTCTACTGCTGTTCATGCTGTTCATTTGGGAGTTCTAATAATAACAGCAAGGTACAAACATGAATGCAAATAATTTTAATAATACCATCTGCTTTCTTTCCTGAGTGTTTTTCCCTTGATTTAAGTTGAGCAACCATAATAATTGTCCCCTCCCACATTCCAAGGAAGGGCTGCAAGGCCTTTCCCTGACTGATGACCCTTTTTGGAAAGTGGTCGCAGCCAAGGATGCTGAAGAGCCCTTTGAATTGGGAGGGAACATGAGCCCATGAGCTGGGCAGCTGGCTGGCTGCCAGGAGCTCTGCTCACCTGTAAAGCCATCCTTGTGTCCTGTCCCTAAGCTCAGAGCTGTGTCAGTTGGATTCGAGGTGCGGATGGTGCTGTTTGTCCAGGGCAGTTTTTGTGTAAATCTGAGGTGTGCATCAGCTGGCATTGTTTAACTTGCATTGTTGGGTTAAAAAAAATAAAGGTAGCAGATGGAAGCACACATTCAAGAGCTTCTGGCCACAGCCATCAGAAGGGACTAATACATCCATCCCCTGTCCCCGAGGACCCCATTGCCAACACCTAATGATGGCTCTGAATTTTAAACTTTTAACTCATTGCCTGTCAGTAAAGTACATGGGAGTGAGATCTACCTGAACAAGAAATAGTGTCCAACTGTGGGACACTAAAGCTACATGGGGGTGACATTTGTGTTGTTGTTGTTGTGCCTTAAGGAGAGGACAGAAGATCTGTAAAAAGGCAGGTAGTGAGATAACAGAAGGAAGAAGGTTGTTACATGCTAATGAGGACAGTGGTCCAGATAATGATCTGCCCATCCAATCATTGGTCTCATTCCCCCCCCCCTCCCCCTTGTCTGACTCCAAAATCCTAGCAGCAAGTGTAGGTCACCTTGTTTAGTAGCTAGAGAGCAGAGAAATTGGGGTAGGTAGACTTGTGATGGGAAACAACCCAAAGGAACAGCAAACTGAGTGGGAAGGCTCCCCTGGGTGGAGTCTGGTAAGGCTTTGGTCGAGCAGAGAGGTTTTTATTCACACAGTAATGTGGCACTTTGTCTTGCCATCAGCCAGCCAAATGAGAGGTGTGTGTGGCTACTGCTGCTGCTGAGAGGGCAGCTTTCTATTCATTGCCATGAACTGTAATATCCCTGTAAAACTTCTGAACACATAGAAGGACACTGAGGCTTTTAAGAGAAAAACAGCTGGACTTCTTTAGGCCAGCTGGTTTTAAGCAGGCAACTTGTTTCTTTAACCTTGTGTGGCTCAAGGGCCAGAGAATTGGTGGGATCTGAGGAGTTTGTCGGACACTGAGCAAGGGGAAGAACTGACAATGCCTTCAGAGTCAGAAAGAAAAACTAATTTTTACTGATTCAGTTTTAATCAACTGTCCTTGTCTGCTGTCTGCTCCTTCTCAACTAACTTCAACCTTCTCATGATTAGATATCTATATAGACTGTCTCTGGAGGCAGAGAGGTGGCTCCAGATTCATGTCATTTCTATTAAGCACTCGACTTAGGGGGGATTAGCCACTGGAGGCGCTTTAGGAGAATATTAGATACAATTGTTATCTAACAACATGCTTATGGCTGCACTGGGTTCAGATAATGTTCAGTTTCTGAGGGATTTCAAATATTTCTTTTGCTTTTAAATCTAATTAAGCAAATAGAGGTTCTGAAGGAAGATGGGAGCCAGGAGACTTTCCCCTGACTTATGATACTACACACCTTCTTCTATACCTGAGGTGCCCAAAATTCACAAATGCCATGTGCGACAATGAGGTGGGGGAAATGCAGCAGCTCATCTCTGGTTGGGACACTCGTGTGTTTTTCACAGTGCAGGTATTTAGCCATGAACTGTAACCCCAAGCACAATTGCACCATGAAGGAAGACCCTTTGCCCAGAATTTAATCTTTGTTTTTGCAGTGTGACCTACGTGAGTGCCATGCTGCCGAGACTCCAGCCAGGGCAGATATGATCTCTCAGGAGCTGAGGAGCTCCCTTGGAAGCAGGAGAGGAGTCCTGGGGCTGTGGATAGCAGTGCAGAGAGGGAGGATCATTTTCCAGTTTTCTTCACCAGCCACCTTAAGGCACTGTTCCACTGATGATACCTATACTTGTGGAAGTGTTTGCAAAATGGAGACATAAAGCCAGAAGATAAAGGGGTGAAGGAAATGAAGAAGGGTGTTAGGGTAATGATTAACTACCACAGTGACAAGTATCTATTTCTAGTTGATAGAAATATATATTTTAGAGGCAGGGTGTGTTTTAATGGAAGCATTTGTGCCTCAGACTTGGTTTTTATCTGAGGTGGAAAACAGAGGCCAGGACATCAGGGAAATTGCCAGAAAGAATGCAGGAAAAGAGCTTTAGCAAGGAAACCAAAAGGAAAAAGAACATATCTTAGATCTTAAGGAAGGAAAGCTGAAGAATTTCTCTAATTAAGGAATGTAGAACTAGATCGGGTGAACTAAGGACATTGATTTGCACGTCAGGAGAAAGGAGAAGAGGCCTCACAAAAATAAAGCCAGAGAGATGCAGAATGAAAACCAGGACAGAAGCATGGGGAATGAGATTGGAAGGACTCAGAGGGAGGGGTAGTGGTAGAGTCACATGGTTTGTGTGGACAGGTTAAGAATGGTAAGACTAGGATAGGACCTAATGTTCAAGTGAAAATTTGCATTGCCTGTTGAGAGCTGTTGCAGTGGGGTGAAGGAGACCTGAAACTGCACAGGACAGACTCAGGCCTAGAACTGAAGGATCAGAGTTCCTAGCACCTTTATCCTGGAAATCCTGAGAAAATATTTAGCTGAAAACACAATTGCCTAAGAAACTATTGCAAAACTGCTGCAGCTACAGTTAGCAGAACCTGATTCCCTCTTTTTAAGAAGGTGGGTGGATGGATGGATGGGTGGATGGATGGATGGATGGATGGATGGATGGATGGATGGATGGATGGATGGATGGATGGATGGAGCGGATCTGGCTTTGGAACTCACCCCTTTGCTTCCTGCTGTGCTCATATTGGTCATAATGAAAAAATTGGCTTTGTCTTCAGTTGAAACTGATACACATTAATGTTTTTTAAATAATGGATCATGCAGATCATAATATGGGCACTAAAAACAAAGGCTGTACTAATAAATACTGGGAAAGGACCCACTGCTTCCTGAAGACTGATAGCCAGATTTCTTTCTGCATGCCTTTTGCATCCTGTTGATGATATGACACTTTTTCCCCAGTAATGTCCAAGACACATTCTGCATTAATCTGATAATGTAACTTTTCATGATCTAGCCAAACAAAATGTAATTTAACTTGTTTTCCCTCCCTCTCTGACTCCCTTTGACAACTGACTTTTTCCTAATGGTTTCTCCAACCCAAGAAATCTGGCAAAAGTTATTTTATTGTTCTCAGAGCAATGTTTGTGGTGTGTTTAATGTGTGATTAACTACCTGAAGCTCAGTGAAGGCCTTGCTCTTTCAAAGGCTTATCTGTGATCCATACTACACCTGAATGGGGTCTTGTCAAAGCCAGTGGGAGTATGGACACCACTACAGTTAAATCCACATGTATTTGAAGGATTTGGGTACCCAAGGATGGTACCCAAAACCAGCCTTATGACTGCACGTTCCTCCAGCTTTGCAATGACTGCATGGAAATTGATAGGCACTGTGGATGCGTGGTGCTAATACGGGAAAGAAGGGAATACGGTCTTGAATTGTGCAATAATGCTTTGTTAATTCCCCTCCTGCCTGGTGTGGTACTTTCCCCATCCTGTAGCACTGGTCACATCAGATACACCTGAAGACAGCTTGTCTCTTTTGTTGTAGTTGCAGGTGGAACTTGATCAGGAATATCAAGACAAATTCAAAAGACTGCCTTTGGAAATTCTGGAGTTCGTACAGGAAGCCATGAAAGGGAAAATCAGTGAGGATGGAGACCACAGTTCTGCCCCCTCTTCCCTGGCATCTGACAGTGGAAAATCAAATCATAAACCTCCACAAAGTGAGGAGGAATTGGAAGAAGATAACCAAGAAAAAGTGTTTGATACTACTTTTTAACTGCCCAAGAAACAATCAGTGCACCGGGGAGCACCATTCCCAACTGCCCGTCTCCAGTCTCCCGGGGTGAGCTGCCGCTGGAGTGCTTCGGGAGGCAGGAGGAATCTGCATTCAAGTGCACATTTCCCCAAAGGAATATTTTATAAAAAGTATTCTGCAAAGGTCTTCATTCTCATTCTTCATCTGATTATTGTTCTAAAGCTTAGTGCAGTTGTAATGGGAAAATTAATATGTTAACCTCCCTCTTTTTTTTTTTTTTTTTTGGGACAGTTTACAATGGGTAATTTTCTGGCCATTTTCACTGCTAAGAATGTTTCATGAAGACCAGTGTATTGTATAGAGAAAAGTGTGTGCAGATTTCCTTTTGGAGTGCCAGAGCAAACTGCTCCAAACTAATAGAGATCCTGGCAAATATTACAACAGTATTTAATCATATTTGTTTCCTTCTTTATAACTGCACCTTGACAGCTGTACCATCCTTTTACATTTGCACTGAAACCTTGGATCCTTTTTAGCTCTGCAAGCACTGGTGGCTTGCTGTCTTGATATTATGTTTATCCCATGGAGAGACATATATTTGCTGCTGAAAATTCTTGGAACTGTGGGGACGAGAGGAAAACAGAGAGAAGAACCCGCGTGGAGATTATCGGTGTCTGTGTCTGTCTGTGTTTGTTACACCATGTGTGTGTATATATGTTTGTGTGTGTGTATATATATATATATATATATATATATATATATATATATATATATGCACACACATCTGTCTATATACACACACAGCATGTTTCTTTTTGAAGTTGATGTGGTCTCTCGGCCAAATGAAATGTTTCAGGGATCCGTGAGTAGGGAGAATCTTTCTGAGATCTAACATCTGGGTTATACTGCTATAGAATAATCATAAAATCATAGAATTCTTTTTGTGGTGTTAGTGGTGTAAATCAAAGTAGCTTTAGAATATAAATTTGATATATATTTTGCAGACTCAAAAGTATTGATTTTAAGTATCATATTTTAAGCTTACTGGATTTGATAGGATTATAAAATGTTTAGGACTACAGTATTTGAAATCTGACAGAATCTTCCATTATTTTTAAGACTGAGGTGCAGTTTTACTAAGGTCTAAAATTTAAAAGCAAAGTATAAAAACCTGACCACTGTTATTTTAAAATGTATATTAATCTGTTTAACTGACTTGTTAAAATAAGAACAATCAAAGCTAGCGTACTGTATGATAAGCATGAGAGAAGTAACAGCACATTCTGGGAAATTTCTATCAGATGACAGAGACACATTATGAAAGTCAGGATATTTGAAAAGGTAAAGAAATGCTGTTCTCTGGATTCATAGCCTAGCAGAAATCAGAATCATGAAACAGACAGATTGGGATTTGTACCTGAGCCAGTGCGTGATTCTTCTCCTGCCGGTGGAGGTGCTTTGGGGCAAGCTCAGAAGCCCCAGATTGGCCTCAAGACACTTGATCCTGCAGAGTTGTGTTCTCCTGCACCACTGGGCTCAGGAGCTGGGCTGGGAAGAACATTTACATTCATGTTTGCAAGATCAGGGCCTTACTTGGGTTAAAGAGCAATCGGCAATCGGAGAAAGCAATCAATTAATAGGGAGGCATTTTAACGCATCGTAACAGTTAAGTTACCTTACTTACATTCCCTCAGGATTTCAGTACTTAAAGTAACTTATTTTATTTAAATTTAAGCAATAAAATACAAATCAATTTAAGTTTTCAGTTAAATAATGGTGTGTATATATATAAGTTCAATCTTGGAAAACCAACAGTGTTTTGATGTTTCCTTTTTAAACATAGAGCAGAAAGAAAGAAAAATTGCACATTGTTTGGAGATCATATTTTGAATTAAACTGTTCTGGTTTATGATGATGAAATCAGTGCATATGAAATTCAAAAATCTGGCTTTCATCTTAACGCTAGGAAAGGTGACTCCTCTGCTAATCCTAGTTTTGCACTTTGAAATCAATCTTAATCACTCATTGAAAATGTAGAGTCGAGATTTAATGCTGCATTTTATAAAGTTAAAATGGTGTGTTGTCTGAATTATTACAAGAATAAACTGATAGCAGTGTTCATACTAAAACCGAAACGATTGCATTATAGAACCATTGTACAGTGCAGACTTTTTGGGAAACTCCTGGCTCCTCTGAACCTCAGCACGACGTTCCCATGTTCTTCAGGGGAGCCAGGACTTCGCCACAGTCTTTGAAGAAACTTGGGCAAATGCCAATTAACCTTTTATTTATATTTAATAAGAAATAAATAGACTGGTTGGGTTAAATATACTATCAGCTGTAGTCATTTTACAGTACGTTTGTATTTGACCATTTCCTGTACTCACATTTTTTTATATCTGTACAGTGCCACTTTCTGCAGGTGTAAGGTAGTGTGTAATCCTGTACATCTTGCATCATTCAAACTATTTCAGTGAAACCGATATCATTTAATATTGATATTACTTGAACTAGAATAAGATAATGAAAAAAGGGTCTTTATGATGTGCAAGTCTTGTGCCTTTTATGTATTTGCCTTGTTCCGTGTTGAATGTGTGGAAATGCTGTATTGTGGACTTTCTGCTGTATAGAATAGAGCTGTCTATATTAAACTAGGTCGTGCACTTCAGATATCTTTACACTACTGAAAATAGCTTGGTTTTGGCAGTATAAACAGAATTTTAAAAATTCTAATGAAGGCCAGACATTTTAGACTTAACATGTTCATAATTATGTTAATTAATGCTCATGTATTAGCTAAACATTCACTGACAGATAACTAAAGGGACATCATTGCTTGCCTTTCTTTGAAATCAGTGTTGCTCTTGTACATTGTATTAATAGTGTCTGTGATTGATTAGTCCTTGATGATTTGCTTTCAGAGTAGAATGAAATATTCCAGTTAACATGTACATATTTTTTCATTTCCTCAATCTATGATTGTTTCAGAGGCATAATTCACATTTTTGTAAAAATTCTATGCAATTTTGTGGCATGATGTTTCTTCCACTTGTAATTTTATGTGCTTACATTACAGATCCAAAGGACAAATAAAAATTTCTTAACACAAGCCCCATTTTCTCTGTTCATTGACTCATGAACCTCAGTTGACTCAGGAGCCCTTTGCTGATGGGGACAGTGCCAGGAGAAGGCAGGGAAATTTCCCTGCAGGCTTTTGTTTTCACACCAAGAACAAGAAATTGCACATGCCTGTGCTTCCAGCCCCTGCCCATTCCAGCACAATGAGCAATTGCTGCTACTCTGAAACAATGGGAAACAACAAGCAGTTTGCAGGAGCCAATGAACTGGTAAGAAAATGTGTTGGTTTACAGGAAGGCTTTTGCAGGAGAGCTGGGATGTGATTTCCAGCCATACCAATAAACTGTCTCAACAAATTACAGCACCTTTACTTGTGTTCCACTGTTCCAGCTGTTTCACTCATCACCTATTCAATTATATATGTGCTGTGAAATACACCTTTTCAGGGCCTTCCACTGAGAGCATTGAAAACGAAATCTATTCCTTTGGCTTTTGACTTCTCTCCCCCTATTTAATTTACAATGTAAAAAATTATCTCTGGGAGGAGATAAGCAGGTATATGAGTGCAGTGTACTGAGGGATGTGCCTGCTAAAATAAATAGTCTCTGAGGCAACTGGAGTCAAATGGCTCACTAGGAAGGAAATGGGGTCTGACACATGGGATGGACACGGCACGGGATGAGGCCAGGCAAGGAAGGGAGGAACAGAGCTGAAAGCAGAGCTGTGAGCCTGACAGACAGGAATAAGACTGGGATGGAAAAGGGGAAGTAGGGGGAAATCAAAAGAAAAAAAATGGATACATCTCCTTTTCCAAAGAGGAGCAGTGGGGTGTGAAATCAAGAGTGTTGAACAGTTGAATCAAACTGACTGTTTGCCAGTCCCACCGTGAAGTGACACAGGTGAGAGGAGGCAAATGGAACCACAGGGCAGGAGGGCAGCCTGGCTCCAAGAAATCTGGGGACAAGGTGGAGGTGGTGATGGTGAGCACAGAGGGAAAAGCCAGGAGGCCATGGGAAGGATTGGGAAACAACCCTTGGCTCCTGCAGGGCTCGGTGAGGCAGGATTCTCACAGCCAGGTGAGCAGGTGACCTTGGTGCTTGTGCTTGGGCCACAGAAGACTGACTTGGCTGCTGGGGAGAGAGAGGAGCAGGTTGGAATGTGTGGAAAAGCTGTTTGCAGGCCAAGCAAAGGGAGGCTGGTGTTGCAGAGGCCAGGCAGTGGGACCTGAGCTGCTTTGAGAAGCCCAGTGGGTTGTTGAGCTTCAGGTGGGTTCTGCAAATGCTCCTGGTGATGGCCAGAAGAAAACAATCCCACCACAGGAGCTTCCTGAGCCTTACACTGTTTCCTTCGCTATAGGGCAGCTTCTAAGATGCAGCTGAGATGTTGGGATGAGCACTGGGGAACATTGCTGAGTGGGGCAGAAAGAGTCTGGAGTGGATGAGCAGGCTGAAGGGCTGGACGGCCAGGCCCCCTAAAACATTTGAACCCAAGGAAGTAATTTTGAGATAAGCAGCTGTGCATTTGAAAGATATGAGTGGGAGTTTAAACCCCCAAGGACTATATCATACCCTTGGATGTTGGGAGAGCTCTGTGTGCAGGAGCTGCACATCAAATCTGCCAGCCTAAGCTCACAAAGAGCAGGATTCTCTTGTCTATCATCAGACCTGATCCCTCCCTGCCCTTTTTTTCCAGGGCTCAGCAGAAGGAAGAGCTGCTCAGCAAAAGGGCCAATGCAGGAAATCAAAGGTACATTCAAAAAGCAGCAGGTGATGGTCACTAGAGAAATTAAGGAAGCCAACAGCAACAAGGAATTCTGGGCCTAAAAATGGTCCTGAGAGAGAGGGTGTCTGCTGGACACAGTTGGAAAGACTTGGGGCTTCTGCTGCTTTCCCAAGCATAGTTCCATTGTACTATTGCTCAGTGGGAGGATGAAGAGGCTCAGTATACAGGTTCCTCAGGATCAGTATCATGCGGATAACAAAATCAAAAGAAGGATCTGAAGGAAAAAACACTGAAAAAATGAGAAACACAAGTGTTCAGCCTGCAGACAGCAAGGAAGAAAATACTGGAGGTAATCTATTAACAACTTTATAATTCATATGATTTTATAGGGCTGGGGTTTTTGGAATTGTGGGCTGCAAAACACAGTGGGAAGATTGTGGTGAGAGGTGCTAATCTTTATGGCTGGATTCCCCTCCAGGTAGAAGGGCTTTAAGTAGCAGTGGGGAAGCCAAGCTCTAATTCAAGAACAAATTGCAGCCAAGCTGATGAATGTGAAGAGAAGAAATGTAAAGCCTGCTGCTGTATCAATGGAGGAAGCCTGCCTGA